AGATCATTTCTTCATCATGTCCAAGTTTAGGGGGACAGAACTTGGAGCTGATTACTTCATTCTGTTAGTGCAGGGTTTCTTGATCTCAGTGTTCTTGACATTTCGAGCCACATAATTCTATGCTGTTGGAGCATTGTAGGATCTTCAACAACATCCCTTGCCTCTACCCACTAATCACCAGTAGTACTCCCCACCACCACCCTGAGTTCTGACAACCAAAAATGTTTCTAGACATTGTGAAATGTCCCCTAGAGGCAAAATCTCCCTTGGTTGAGAACCAGTCTCAGGACATTTGGGGTGTGCTTAGGGCCAAGTACAAACTTCCCTGCCTTCTAGAATTTGTGCTTTAGCCACTGGATTATAGTGATAGAGAGAAGCTTACAGCTGAGTTGGGAAGATACAGCATATAAATGCCATGGACGCTCCACCTTGGAGGTCTGCTTGCCTGTGCTGCTGCAGACTTGCAGTACGAAAATGATGTGTTGGAATGAATGAGACCATACTGTCGGCTCAGAGACCTGCATGACAGCGAGTCTCACATCCGTGGCTCTGTGCTTACTAATCCTTGTCTCCCTTTTCTGTGGCTGAAGCTCTTGATCAGGACTGAGTGAAATGCTGTGCACCACTTCAGAGCAAGAAACCCAGAGTCCTGGAAACAACACAGAGGACAGCCGCAGCTGAAAGGGCATCGCATGGGGTGGGGCTGGTGTGGGCGCAGCACTCTGGGTGTGTTGACCGCAGTACTCAGGCAGAAGTGGAGCGATTGAAGACAGATGGCCATCTTGTGGCTGTGATTTTCCTGGCCCTTCATGCCAGTTCAGGGGAAAGTTTTCTCATACAAAATGACTCCCAGGAGCTCTGTCAAAACCCCCCCCAAAAAAAAAAAACCCACCAAAACCCACTGCCTCCTTGGGAGGCCAAGATAGGATGAGGGGTCCGGTGCCTCTGTGGTCTTGGCCTGCACAGGCCAGGCAGCAGGGCCACCACTGGCCCTGGTGCCAACAGAGCACTGTCGACGCTGCCTCCTATGGGCCCTGAATCTGAGGCACCTGGAAGGGTTATTAGCAGGATTGGAACTCATCCCTCTGCTGGGACTAGATCATAATTACAGTAATTTTCTAACAGAGCTCGGCAGTAGGACTGTTTAATCAGCATCTGACTCCCTCGTGCTCCCAGCCCTCATCACTCAAGGAGAAGAGCAGGATGGCTCTTAAAGAGACAGTGCCTGCCTTTCAGCGCTTTGAACAGATGTGCCCTAATTGGTAGAATATATCTAAGTCTCATAGCTTATAGCAGGCAGGTTTCATTGCCTCCAACAAACTGCCTAGGGCTATCACTATTCTGGGCCTTCTGCCGGAAGCATCCGGGTCATGCTGCTGGTGGGCCTGGCTTCCCACACCAACACGGCCACCAGGGGAAAGGACACATACTAGGCTAGAGCATTTATGGAAGGATCTGAACAAGCTGGCCTCTTCAAAACTGATGGTATGAAGAAAGTGCTTGGTCGAAGGATGGGAAGGACTTGACAGCCAGGTATGAAAAGAAATTTTGGCTGGTGGCTTCCCATAATCCAACGATTACAGAAGCAATCTTGTGTTCCTGCCCTTCCAGGGGAAAAACCTTAAAATCTTTCCAGTAGTCTCTTAACTCACACCCTAGATTTACTACCTCTCTCTACTTATTATCCATGCCCCTCTCACTACCATGAAAATACCCGTTTTTCTCTTCCTTTGCTTCTGGAAGTAAACCAGATCTCCCCTGAACCAAAGGGAAGCAAAATTAATCACTCTGTTCATTGAGTCAGGAGCACTCTGTCTTCTAAAACGTGTGGCTCTTGCTATCCTTTTGAGCATAAGTTGTCTGTGTTTGTTATATCTTAAGACTTGAGGTTTCCAGCTCCAAATCCAGTCATGGCTAAGGTGGAACTGTTTTTCCCCCAAGAAGTTATTTCTCTAATAAGATGCTAGGACTGGCACCTATAACCCTGTTGGTTAGCCAGATGTACAATTGGACTTTCTGGCAGTTCACAAAGCAGTTCCTTAGAGAGAACTGTGGTAGGGAGTAGATGAGATAAGAAGTGGGTGGGGGCTTGGCTTCCAAAGTGGGTTGAGGAAACCCTCAGGAAAGAAGGTGTATGGAGTAAGAACAGGAAGGGGGATGCTCATCCACAGCTCAAAGAAAGGCTACCGTGAGCTAGGACATGTGCCACCTACAGACTGACTCCCTGCTGGCAGAGCTGTCCCTCTGGCTTAGGATCACTGCCCAGTGCTTGACTAAGCAAGTGCTATCTCGTGCTGCAGTGGTTATCTGCTTGGCTTTAGCTGTGTCTCAGCTGGCTGCTCATACATAAATCCACAGATGCCACTCCAGCCTCTGATTTCATGCTCCTGCAGCCTCTATGAGGCAGGCTGGGAGCTGGTCTATTCCATCCCCAACCCCTCCTCATATCCTTTGGGTCCACTGTCCACCTTACCCCTAGGGTGTTAAGAATAATTAGCAAGAGCTGAGGTGTGCAAACAAATTCACAAACATGGATTTAACTTAATGCCCAATCAAATAGTTAAAAAGTCATGATTACCTCCCAAGCAAAGGTACCAGAGAGGGTAGGAGGTGCCGAGGACCCAGTGGTGTGGATTTAGGGCCTTCGCAGTTAGAAAACTAAGGACTATGAGTGAATTCTGTCTTGTAAGAACAACTCTAAAAAACTCTGCAGGGAGGATTTTTTTTTTTCCTTGAGTGTAGTGGTGGGTTTGTTTAACTTTTTGTTGTTGTTTTTGAAACCGCAGTTAGAAAACTAAGGACTATGAGTGAATTCTGTCTTGTAAGAACAACTCTAAAAAACTCTGCAGGGAGGATTTTTTTTTTTTCCTTGAGTGTAGTGGTGGGTTTGTTTAACTTTTTGTTGTTGTTTTTGAAACAAAACAAAACAAAAAAAATTTGTTTTAGAGTTTGGAAAGTAGCTCTCATGTGAATATACTCTGCTTCCATCTACATGCTTTTCAAAAACCACGCTCATTCAGATCCCCATACCGGCCAGCCACCAAAAATAATAACCACTAAAAAATAACAAGAAAATAAATAAATAAATAAATAAAAACCATGCTCAACTGACCAGCTACAAAACAAAACACCATGCTCAGCTCAGTTTCCTCAGCTAGAAAATGAATGTAATACCTGCCCTACCCTACTCAGTGGGAACTGACAAGGTCAAATAAAATGATGCGTATGAAACTTACTATTTTTTTTTTTTAAAGATGACCGGTAAGGGGATTTTTTAAAATTTTTTTTTATTTTATTTTTATTTGTTTATTTTTTTAAAAAAGATGACCGGTAAGGGGATCTTAACCCTTGACTTGGTGTTGTCAG